TATTTACTCTGACCCTGATGACCTCTTTAATCTCATTTCAGGCCTCTTTTTTCCATCATTCAATGCATTCTAATCAAACAGGACTCCTTTCATTTTTTCTAATGTACCAAGTTCTTTCCCATCTATGAGTGTTTGCACATGCTGTTTCCTCCATTTGGAATGTTAGATCCCCCAGTCTTGCTTTGTCCTTCAGAATACTTAACACAGTTTATAATCATGTAAATATGTAATTCCGATAAGGATTTGTTTATATCTGGCTACGTCACTAGGCTGTAAGCTCATTGAGGGTAAGTTTGTTGATGACTGCATTGGTGATTACTGTATGTTGAGAACTTAGCACAGTGCTAGGTACATAATACATAATCAGTAAATATCTGTTGAAAGAATGAATACACTATCAATTCATTCAGGCTTATACATCAGAATTGCTTCTTGGCTGAGCACAGTGGCTCATACCTATAATCCTAGCACTTTGGGAGGCTGAGGCGAGTGGATCTCTTGAGCTCAGGAGTTCAAGACCAGCCTGGGCACATGATAAAACCACATCTCTATAAAAATAAAAAATAAAAAATATAAATGTATATACATATATAAAATAATTGCTTCTTTCCAGGTGCTTCTAATCTGATACCACAAGATCCCTACATGATGGTTGCTCTCATTAACACCATTCTCTTTGGCTATGGATGATTCAAATAGCCTAATCATCATCTCTTTTATCATCCATTCATTAATGCCATTTATTGTGACCTCTGTAGCAAATTTCTCTTGAAGTAATTTCATTTTGTCTTGTTACAGGTGTTATTGTAACAAGCTTCTTTAGGTTTACTACTTTCTGTTCTCTCTTTCTCTGTCTTGTTTTTTTTTTCTTTTTAGGGATGTATTTCTGCCATGTTGCCAGGCTGGTCTTGAACTCCTGAGTTCAAGAGATCCACTTGCCTCGGACTCCCAAAGTGCTGGGATTACAGGCATGAGCCACTATACTGGATAATCTCTTCTCTTTTATTTGTTCTGCAGCGATTTACCTTATTTAAGCTTCAGGGAGGTTTGCCTTCTGGCTTTATCAGGTACAAGAACTGACTGTTACTCTCTGCCTATTTTGTACAGGAGCACAAAAATGGGGCAGCAAAAGCATTACTTTTCTTTATGCTGATGCTCTGAAAAATATTATGCCCTAAAGAGGGAGGTTAACTGTCCTCCTTGCCCTTACCACTGCAAACCAGACAGAAATTTAAAATATGGAAACAGTGCTTTTTATTCTGTGTCAGGGTTTTAAACTTGGTCAACCTCCCAGAACTGTATGCCTATTTTATACTTTAATTGGTTTATGTACATGTTCATTTTTCTGGAAAGGATCTATATTTTTATTAGGTCGTTAGAGAAGTCAGAGATCCCAAAAAAGTGCCCTGGGCTTTGTATCCTGCTTTACTTCTCCCTGTAAGTGATCGAATCCACAAGGCCAATTGTGTCCTTTCTCTAAATCACTTTGTGTTATGACTTCAGGATGCATCTTGAACTTTGTTTTCAAGTGAACTTTGTAAACAGCTTAATAGACATTTTGAACTATATTAATAATAAATGCATCATAAAATGTCCTGTTTGATAAAGGAGGCATCTGAGATAATTATGCAATGCACTTAGCTACTTACATTTTATTTATTCTTATTAATATCATTGATATTTATTATTTTTCATTGCTTCCCTGAAAGACCTGAGTACGGCCACTCTGGCTTTAGGAACTGTGTCCACAGTGCTGGCTGATAAACCACTACCACACTTTTTTTTAAAACTCCAAACATTTCTAAGAATCAGGCTTGGATGTAGGGCCTAAAAATCATTCAATTGGAATGTGAAGAAGTTGAAACACCATTGTGCAAAAACCCTTTAGCATATGTGTATGTATGTTGCTCTAATGTCAGGATGTACACATTTATTACAGTGCTTTGGAGGTTTATTTATAATCTGACCTTTCAAAATTCTGGAGCACAAAAAAAAGTAGATCTTCATTAAGGGTTTTTTTTTTTTTTCTTTTTCTTTCTCTTTTCTTGCCAGAAACTTTAAAGATGTTTCTTCCTCCACTTCCTTCCTTCCTCGTACTGTCCTTGCTCAATGTGAATCTACAATCACTGCCACTTGAATGAATGCAACTTATGTTAACAAATCCCCAGGATCAGAACTCCCACTGCAGCATTTCCTTCTCCATAGAACCATTGAATCAGAAATGCATTCTAGTGATTTTTTTGTCGTTAACGATGATTAATTTGCAAATTTGAGATTTCACGAGAAAAAACATAGATGCCCAGATTTAACAAATTCCTTATCTTTTTTCGACTTAAACCCACGACGCTTTGGGGAGTACTCTGGCCCCTGCAAGTGGGGAGCGTGCACACACACACACACACACCCCTCCAAGATAGGGGCTTTCTAGCAAAATCCTTTGAGCTGCCAATCCAAGATTTTACTTAAAGAAAGAATTGACTTAGTTTTCAAGTGACAGATCTCTAAGTGCCAGAGCGACAAAGTGCACCAGGCTGATAAGGTGCGTGCAAAGACTCTCAGGTGGGAATTCTTGGCACAGCCACAACGTTGCTGGCCTAGGCACCCGAGGCTGGCAGAGCCTAGCCTCTGAGTCTCCCTCCACTCCTGGGCTTGCTTTCCTTTTTGAAGCCGCCTGCAGCTCAAAGAGGTGTTTGAACCAAGAGCACTCGCTTCGCGATCCTCCTGGCAGAGCGACAGCTCAGTTTCCCCTACGGAATCACGGGCTTTTCTAAAGGGCAGGGAGGTACAGTCGCAGAGTTCTCTGGAGAACAAACACCCCCGCCCCGCCCCACCCCCCCAGGACTGGTGGAGACTGGAAGGAACGAGTCCAGACCACGGGACCTTCCCTGGCTGTGGGCCGACGCCTAGCTGTCCTTGACCTCTCCAGCAGTCAGAGGCGCGCGCGGGAGAAATGAAAGTAAAACCTGTCCTGGCGTGGACCCAAGTGGAAAGTGGCGACAAGTAGGTCGCATCCTCAGAGAGACTGATAGCCAGTCCTGGATCGGTGGGAAGAGCTTGATTGGCAGAGGATAAGTGAAAGGAAAAGGAAATGGGAGACAAGGAAGAAGAACAATAGTTAGGCTGGGGAGGCTCCTGGTCATCCAGCAGGCGTGCAGTAATAGCTGCTGTCTGCGGTGCAGACGGACTAGCCGCCCGGCCAGGCCGCTGCGGTGACCGCCCTGCGCCCAGCCAGGCGGTCGGATCCCGACCAGTGCTCCGTGCTGCACTCCTCGAACCCCCTGCGTCCTAACCCCTTACTAGGGCCAGGGTCAGGGCCCAGAATCTGTCCTCCGTCTTCAGACGGAATTCAGGTCCGCTCAGGTGGCTTCTTCCAGGAAGAGTCCTTAAAATAAACAACCTCGGCGCGGCCATTTCTTCCCCAGGTGCAATGTCCACTGTAGAGTCCCGAGAGTGAAAAGGCGGCTGAGCCAGCGGTGCGCGGCCCAGACAGACCACTCTGGGCAAGGTCCACGAGACCCACCGGCCAGCCGCCTTTGCACCGGAGCTCAGAGCCATATGGCAGAGTAGGAAAGAAGCTTAAAGGTCTGCTGAGGACCGGCTCTAAGATGGGGACACGAGAGATGGGACGTGACTCGCCCACCTTCACACAGCGAATTGCCGGGAGGTGAGGACCAGAAGCCTCTTTGGCTAGTGGTCTTGCACCCTTGGCCTCTCCGTCGAGTCGCTGGGCTTCAGGACATTCGAGTAGAGGAGTGGTTTGTAGGACCCCAGAAACCCACAAGCAAGAAGCAGGAAGCCCCGTGGCTTAGCCTTTCCTTCCCAGTTTGGCCCCCAGGAGAGAAGTAAGAAAGAGCAGAAGCTGTGATGGAAGAGCACAAACGGGTGACAAACGTGTTTAGCGTGATTCATCATGAACAGGCACAAATTCTTTGGGCGGGGGCTAGGACTCTCCTTTCCCCCTTGAGAAGACGGTGACCCCAGCCTAGAGGAATCTACACCGCGCCCCAGTCGGCCGTGCTTGCGTGTCGGGCCGAGTAGGGACTCTGCTGCTTCCTACCTGCAAGGTGACTTCCCCTCTCTGCAGATACCTCCCCTCTCTGAGCTTGAATTTTCTACCTGCTGAAATGGGAAAAGTAATGTTACCTTCCTTGCCTGACTCAAGGGTGGGTGTGAAGCTCAAAGTAGACTGGGATGTGGCCGTGCTTGGTAAACTGTAAAATGATTAGCATACGTGAAGCGTTAGTGTGCTCCCTGGCAGTCAGTCCTCACGTTTACGATGGATGAATGAAGGCAGCCAGGCGCACTCTCAGGTTATGACCTTATAAGGCATAATAGGATTACAAGGAGGCAAAATGAAACAGTATATTTCCTCCTAATTTTGGTTATTCCTATGTTTCCAAATAGAAATGTAAATTCTGAAATTTCAGATAATTCCCCCCTCCAAATCCCAATTCTCAATTTAGCTTTTCTGAGCTTTGTCCCTACTGTGAAATCTTACTAGCCCATCCCGAAACCCTGGGGTCTCGGTCCTCTGGGGTACTAGTGAGTCCTGCTCCTCTCGGCTCTGCTGGGTCCCTGCCCCAGCCCCTCCGCGGGAGCCTGGGGTCGCGGCCAGGTCAGGCGCCAAGCCGGCAGGGGGCGCGGTCCACTTGAGTCCACAGCTCCCCAGGTCCGGGGCTCGGGCCATCCGCGCGGTCCCTCCCGCGGGCTCTTGCTATTTTTCGCCAGGAGGCTTTGCACTCTGGGCTTCATAGGTCCTGGATAAGGACCTCAAGAGGTTGTAGTGGCGCCCCTTCGCCCCGGCGTACTGTCTGAACCCTGTGCCCAAAGAGTTAGGGCTGTGGCTGTTCCTGCACCAACCGCCCGGAGCCCATACCTAAGCCCTCTGGGCACCAGGTACCTCCTCTCCCCCCAACTCCCCCTCCCCCCGTCCAACCCCAGCCCCAAAGGAAGCAATGCGCGCGTCCGAGAGCAGGAGCGCGCGTGGCTTAGGAAAGAAAGGGAAGGCAACTGGGCAGCACAGGCCCCGCCCCGCCGCTCCCCCACCCGTGCGCTTATAAAGCACAGGAACCAGAGCTGGCCACTCAGTGGTTTCTTGGTGACACTAGATAGAAGAGCTCGAGCCTTGCCACTTCGGGCTTCTCACTGCAGCTGGGCTTGGACTTTGGGGTTTTGCCATTGCCAGTGGGACGTCTGAGACTTTCTCCTCCAAGTACTTGGCAGATCACTCTCTTAGCAGGTAGGTGCCGCAGACGCTGCGGGTTAAGAGGTGGAGTGGGGGCAGTGCTTGCCAAGGCCCTAAACTGGGAGATCTGGGTGAGGGGAGCAACCCACTTTGGGGGGTTCTCTGAGGGATACACCCCATATCCTGGGCCCAGCTCGTGCACACAGCTGGAGATCCGGAGACCCAGTCCCCTATGCTCCGTCAGCCAAGTTCCAAGAAGTTGAGCAGAGACCCTCTGGGAGCCTGGCGGGGTGCAGCGGCCTCCCGTGCGGGGCCTGTCACCCGGCCGGCGCGTGCAAACGTCTCTGGCGCCTCTCTGCGCCGAGGGAGATAAGCGCCAGGGAAAGCGCGGGCTAAACCCGCCTCGCCGGGGCCCCTGCCCGCCCTTCGTGCCCCGCCCGGGTGGTGCAGCTGGCCCGGGTGCTCACGCTCGACTCTTTCTTCTTTTCCAGGGTCTGCGCTTCGCAGCGGGGATGAAGCTGGTTTCTGTCGCCCTGATGTACCTGGGTTCGCTCGCCTTCCTAGGCGCTGAAACCGCTCGGTTGGATGTCGCATCGCAGTTTCGAAAGAAGTGAGTCCGGGGCAAACCCCGTCCCCGGTCCTGGTACCTGGCAGGCAAGGGGAACTGACCGTTGGTCCCGAAGGTCTAGAAGTGAATGGGAGCAGGGACAGGCCAGGACATCGCCTGAACGCACGCGACTCTGTCTGCTTGTGTTTTCCAGGTGGAATAAGTGGGCTCTGAGTCGTGGGAAGAGGGAACTGCGGATGTCCAGCAGCTACCCCACTGGGCTCGCTGACGTGAAGGCTGGGCCTGCCCAGACTCTCATTCGGCCCCAGGACATGAAGGGTGCCTCTCCAAGCCCCGAAGACAGGTAACTACGCCCTGTGCTGTCCAGGGACGGGAGGGAAGGAAGGTGTGCGGGAGGAGCTCTCCGTCTCTACTCCCCTGGCCCGGGGGATCGTCCGGGCTGGACGCAGCTCAGATGGCGCGAGCAGTTTCCAGCTCCCTCTGGCCCTAGAATGGCTCCCGTTCCCGGTGTTGGGGCCAAAGCTCTGCTTGATGGGGTCTCAAGTTGCCTTTCTCTCCCCCTCCCCCGAAGCAGTCCGGATGCCCCCCGCATCCGAGTCAAGCGCTACCGCCAGAGCATGAACAACTTCCAGGGCCTCCGGAGCTTTGGCTGCCGCTTCGGGACATGCACGGTGCAGAAGCTGGCACACCAGATCTACCAGTTCACAGATAAGGACAAGGACAACGTCGCCCCCAGGAGCAAGATCAGCCCCCAGGGCTACGGCCGCCGGCGCCGGCGCTCCCTGCCTGAGGCCGGCCGGGGTCGGACTCTGATGTCTTCTAAGCCACAAGCACCTGGGGCTCCACCCCCGCCGAGTGGAAGTGCTCCCCACTTTCTTTAGGATTCAGGTGCCCATAGCACAACGAACAGTCGCGCAAGCATCCCGCTGGTGCCTCCCGGGACGAAGGACTTCCCGAGCGGTGTGGGTACCGGGCTGTGACAGCCCTGCAGAGACCCCGAATCCGGGAAGCACCTTCCGGCGGCGATCTCTGGCTTTGCAAGGGCCCCTCCTTCTGGGGGCATCGCTTCCTTAGCCTTGCTCAGTGCGGGTGCCCCGTGGGGGCGGGATGCAGCAGAATCCGAGTGAGTGTTTGCCAGGCTTAAGGAGAGGAGAAACTGAGAAATGAATGCTGAGACCCCCGGGGCAGGGGTCTGAGCCACAGCCGTATTCGCCCACAAACTGATTTCTCACGGCGTGTCACCCCACCAGGGCACAAGCCTCACTATTACTTGAACTTTCCAAAACCTAGAGAGGAAAAGTGCAATGTGTGTTGTACATATAGAGGTAACTATCAATATTTAAGTTTGTTGCTGTCAAGAGTTTTTTTGTAACTTCAAATATAGAGATATTTTTGTACGTTATATATTGTATTAAGGGCATTTTAAAAGCAATTATATTGTCCTCCTCCCCCTATTTTAAGACGTGAATGTCTCAGTGAGGTGTAAAGTTGCTCGCTGCGTGGAATGTGAGTGTGTTTGTGTTTGTGTGCATGAAAGAGAAAGACTGATTACCTCCTGTTTGGAAGAAGGAAACACCAAGTCTCTGTATAATCTATTTACATGAAATGGGTGATATGCGAACAGCAAACCAATAAACTGTCTCAATGCTGATTCATTCTCTCGGCTCGGCTCTCGCGTCTAGGGAGGGAGTGTGCCCTGGTCCCGGCCCGCCCAGGAGCCTTGGGGTCGCGCCGCCGGGCTTGGGAACGTGGGACGGCAGCGCGCGCAGGTGCTGGCTCTACTCTGAGCCGGCTGAGCTGTCACGAGCTCTGTTCTCTGAGTGGGGCGCGCAGAGCACGTATCCTGGGTGCGAACCAGGGCTTCGCGGAGACGCCGGAGGTCACCGCCTGGCGTGGCGGCCAGGCCGGGCGGGGGTAGGGGGAGCCCTAGTGGGTTGGCAAGCCTGGACTTTCGGGTTGCGCAACGGAGTCCTAGATTTATAGGGTTGCTCACAGAACCCTGCGCGAAAGCGCGCTTCGAAAAGTTGGGGTGGTCTCTGAGGCCTTCTAAGAGAGGCGTTCCCCCTGCCTGCCGCGGCTGTTAAAGTTCCAAGGCGCCCCAGCAATGCGTTGGGACACCTCCGGAAAACCCAGTAACCGCCAGTAACCCCCAGTAACCCCGTGTCTGCCCCGGCCTGAGCGCCCGCGAACCGCGGGCTCATGGGCGAGGCTGTGGCGCCCCCTGCAGGCAGCTGAGACAGGCCCAGCGCCGCCAAGCAGTACGTGCGGTTTAATAAGTTCTGCTACGTGGGAGTCAGCACATAGCCTTAATGAAAGAAAGAAAAAAAAAAGAAAAAAAGAAACAGTTTGCAGATGCCATCCAGGGCCGTCCCCCTACACCCCCCAGACCTGCACCGTGGCTCCCTGTTCTGGGACAGTGACTCAGCGCCCACACGCTGCGCTGTGTGCAGCTGCCGGCTGGAGGCGGGCGGGACGGACGTGCCGCCGGAACCGTGAGCCTCCGACGGCCTGAGACCTTCATTGTTCCGCCTCCCCTAGCCGCTCACCTCTTCCTTCCTCCTTCCCAAGCCGTTTTTCATTTTTTTTCTTCACTTCTCTCCAGCCTTCCTCTCTCTCTCTTTCCTTCCTTCCTCCTTACTTTCTTTATATGCCTTATCTTCTAAGAAGGTTGATCCCAGTTCCGGCGATAGACAGACACTAAGCCCTCCTTGAGTGACTAGAAAGGCAGGGGACATGGGAATAGTTAGGACATAAGGGGAGAGTAAAGAGAAGGACCCCTGATTTTGATTTCAGGGTGCCCCGTTTGTCTCATCCAATATCCTAAGGACCCAAGATGGAGATCAGCTACTTGTCCTTTCCAAAAAGCTTCCCTGGCTTCAATGTCAGTGCTTGTAGGTGATCTCAGAAACCTTCCTGGTGAAGAAAACCTGAAGGTGAGTTTGGAGAATGGAAATGTTTCCAGGATGGCCTACGGCCTTCTAGGGCTTTTGCACATTACAAGGCCCCCTCTGAGGGACTAGATTGTTTAGTTTCTTGCAGAAGAGGACTGCATACTCACTGAGAGAGAGGGGTCCTAGTCTGGGGTCCAGAGATACCTCATTTCAAAGCAGTTTCAATTTAGAAGAAAGTAAACTCAAGCACGCAGAATTTCCTTAAGACCATACAAAGCCTCAGTTTGGGCACCTGGCTGTTGACAGTGCCAATCTCATATAGTTTATTGTCCTGTTTGATCTTAATAATTGTGTGAGGTTTGCCAGAATTGAGGGGATTAGAAATGCAGCTACAGACCATTCTTGTCCTCAAGGGCCTTTCAGAAAAAGATTCACTTTGTGGGAATTCTGTGCCAGGCACCGAAAATGTACCAGGCATGTATGAATGAAAAAGTGACTAAAGATTCCTGTCATGGAATTTCTGTGCCAGTGAGTGGGTTCTGGGTGGTCTGAAGGGGCTACAGAAACTGCAGAGAGCAGCAAACACTTCAGCCTTACAGACGGTGGCTCAAGATTAGACACTCACTCCTTTCCTTGAGCCAAGGTTTGTCCTGTAGCCACAAAGCACTCCAGCCAAACCTCACCCTGGCACAGCATCAGCCAGCAAACAAAGCTGCCAAAGGCAGGTTGGGCACAAGCTTAGGGCGGTTATGAGCAGGGAACAGGCGTCTAGCCTTGTGCTGAGGAAGTCTTATGACTTAAGGGAATTCAAGGCAAGTGAAGAAGATGGTTCAGCTCTGAGATGAAAGAGGCAGCTGCTCAGCTGGAGTCCTTCCCGCTGAGAATCCTGTGACTGGAGACATGTGCAAGGAGACAGAGACCCTCCTAGGACCAGTTTGGTATGAGTTCAGGATTAACCGAAGGTCACCATCAAACCCTGGGCCCTTCTCTTTGAGGTGCTGAAGCTTATCAGTATAGGGACTCCTGATGCCAAGAACACATCGTTTATCAACAGTGATGAGTCATTTGTGAGCTGATTCGACCTGTCCACAGCTGAGGAGTAGTCACAGCTTTTATCTTTAGCTACTGTTGCTTGCTATGGGAATGGTACCATCCAAGTGTAATCAAACACGGGGTATCAGGCAATTTCTTGAAAAGCAAACACCTTGGCTGAACAGCTAAGGGTGAAGCGGAGTGATGGGGAGGAATGGAGACAGATTCTTTTTTTAGCACTTGCTTGGTGTCAGATATTCTCTTTGCCACTTTATATACCTTATCTCATTTAATTCTTATAACAGCCTTGTGAAGTGGGTGTTATCTGTTTATAGATAAGGAAACAACCTCAGAGACATGAAGTAACTCAGCCAAGGTTACACAGTGAGTAATAAGCGCTGGAGCCTGGATTTGCACCCAAGTGCTACAGGCTGTTTTGATGCTCTAAAGACATACGGAGTAAAGTGGGATAATTTTAACATTTAGATTCTCCAGCCAAATGTCCCCAAATGTCCTCTAAAACAGGGATAGCTTGTATAGGTGATTTACACCTGTGGTTCTGAAAGATTTACATGAGGGCTGGTAGAATAGGGAAGGAGAGCGGCTTCAGCAGTAAGCTCAATGAGTGCAAAATAAATAAATGAACTGAGTTTTAAATTCTTGGTCTTGGTTTGAAGAAGGGATTATAAATCAACCTTTTTCCCCTCCTGAGCTAAGCCACTGACCTCTTTGGTTTGAATTGCCAAATATAGTTAAAATATACACTGGAGCTTCAAGAGCTGGTTTCGGCGGGGAAGGCCTTCTGAGCTATTCCTGGCCAAATACAGTCCCACACTGTAGATCTTAAGTCGCCTGGAAGAACACCTGTGTCTACAAAACTGCAAATAGAGTTTCCACCCTTGAGGTGGGACCTTTTGTCTTGGCAACTGCTGCTTAAAGCAGCTTTTCAGAGGATGTTCTGAGCTGACTCTCAGAGAGTAAGAGAGAGCTATAACATAAGGCCCCTCCTTTCTCCAGCTGAGAAGGAGAAGGCCTTGTTATCCTGAGTCCCACAGAGGTTTCTGCCAAAGCCAGGCTGGAGGCTTGGTCTTCACGTGCATGAGAAGAAGGGTGAGGCTAGATAGCTATCTGGTGGTCCCACTGTTCTTGTTCCAGAGCTATTTGGAACATTCTGGAAAAACAATAAAAATAACTGTGGCCACACAGGCAGCCGAATTTAGTAGGTTTTTGTACATTTATCCAACATTAGGAAAGTAGTTTTGAGTATTAAGATACAATTTTAAAGCATAAAAAGGTGTTTTACTTATTTACAATATTTATTCAGTGTAGAAGAAAAAGATTCACCTGTGATACTACTTTCAGATATAACCACTATTAATATTTTAGACATTTTAATCTTTTATTTATTTATTTAGAGACAGGGTTTTGCTCAGTTCCCAGGCTGGAGTGCAGTGGTTTGATCAAGCTCACTGCCTCAAACTCCCAGGCCCAAGCAATCCTCCTGCCTCAGACTCCTGAGTAGGGGGGACTATAGGCATGATGCCTGGCTAACTTCCTTTTAGACATTTTTATATATTATACATATACACACTTTAAAAAATTGAATTCAGTGGAGAGAGTTGAATTAAACCTACTCAGTTTAAGGCAAATTGTCATTACCAATCTGTGCAAGGCTTCTCTCTTTTTAAAATTATTTTATTTTTTCTTCTTTAATTTCCATATCCCTTCACATCTCCTTTATAGGAACCCTCTTTAATGTATTTGATATCTGTGCTTATTATAGTATACAATCTTGTAAAATCGGCTGTTATTTCACAACTGCATGTTTTTAACCTGCAAACACATTGTGTTAAAATATTTATTGTTTCCTAATCTCACTCAACACTTTAAAAAAATTACCCAGGTAGATTGTTTCCTCTTACTGCTGAATATTACACTATTTTATGGATCTGCCACGTTTTACTTTTCTTGTATTTTAATGAGGGACACTTGGGTTGCCCCCAGTACCCCTCTGCCACAAACAATATGTAAATTAACATTCCATTTCATGTCCTCTTATGGGTCTAAATGAAAATTTCTTCGAGATATATACCCAGAAATGGCATCATTTACTTAAAAGCCTTCTACATATAGATTATTCTAAATTGTATGAGCTTGCTTTCCAAAATGCCTGTACCAGTATGCATTTACACGAGCAGTGCCTGAGAGTTCTCACCTCCCCATGTCTTTGCAATATTTATATGTATGATGATTAATTTCATGTGTCAACTTGACTGGGCTAAGGGATGCCCAGATAGCTGGTAAAAAATTATTCCTGGATATGTCTGTGAGGATGTCTCCAGAGGAGATTACCATTGGAACCAGTAGACTGAGTAAAGAAGCTCTCTCACCAATGTGGACAGGCATTATCTAATCTGTTGAGACCTGGAATAGAACAAAAAAGGCAGAGAAAGGACAAATTCTCCCCTCTGTTTTCTTGTGCTGGGACATCCATCTTGTCCTGCCCTTGGACATCAGACCTCTGGGTTCTTGAGGTTTCCAACTTACACCAGTGGCCTCACTCCATACTGAGACTGGTAGTTATACCATCAGTTCCCCCGGTTTTCAGTCCCTTGGACTTGGACCGAATTACACCCCCAGCTTTCTGGGTTCTCCAGCTTGCAGACAGCCTATCTTGAGACTTACCGCATCCATAATTGCATGAGCCAGTTCCCATAAGAAACAAATC